CACGGGAGACTCTGCAGGGGCTGAGGGACATCTAGAAGGAGTTCTGGTGTCTCCCCGGTGCCTGTGCTCACTTTGTGTGTCCTGCTCAGATGTCATGCCCAGATGAACTGGCTCTCCTGGCAGATGATGACCTGCTTGACTTCCTCCTGAAGGAAGGTTGTTTTATGCCTGAAATCCCCGTGGGGGACAATGATCTGCTGGAAGACTGGGGGCTGCCGGAGCCTGAGGTGAGTTGCTTGGGAGGAGTTGCTGCTGGGTTGCAATTAAGGAGGTTTGGCTCTCTGCTGAGTAAAAGCTTTTTCTCCACAGCCTCTGGACAAGGATATGGATGATTTCATCACGTCCATGCTGAATCCCTTTCAAGATAGGGCAGGCATGCTGCAGGATTATCTACTGGCCGATAGTAACAACGCCGTTCCTGAGGATCAACTTCAGTTGCAGAGTTTTGGCAGCGACTTTCCTGGCAGCGACTTTACCAGTGACGCCCAGAGCTCAGAAGTCGTGCAGTCTGATCACAACTATTCCCTCCACTGGGATTGGTCTGTGCTGCAAAGCATAGCATCTGACCTGGCAGGGATAGACATGGCAGAGGAGGATATATCCATTGATGTTGGTGAGTGATGCCCACGGGCTCTTTCTGTCCTGGCTGCAGGCACAAAAGCAGTCCCACACTGGGGGTTTTTGGGTGGGTGCCAGGAAGTGATGGAGAGCACCATGTGTAGTAGCTTTCGGCTGCCGTAACATTGCAGTTCGATGCTACTCGGAGCTACCTGGTTGGGTGCAGCCCCACTGAGGCCCAGTGTTGTACTGTCCTTTCCTTCCCCAGACACCTGGGAGGGAGTCGAAGGCACAAGCGAGGCCCTGCTACAGACCTTTGGTTTCCCCATTCCAGCTCCTGTGGATGCCATAGCCCAGGTTGAGCCTGCTGCCACTATGCAGGTATGGATTGCCATGGGTGTGAGCCCCAGCCTTTGCTTCTACTCACATCTCTTCTCTCCTGGCTTGCTTTCTGGGATATCTCTGAGGAAAGCATGATGCCCCTTTGGTAGAGCTGATCCTGTTCCTGCGTGCTTTCTGCATGTCTTCTCTGCCCTGGGGTAGACTCCTCTTACTTTGTATTCTCAGCATGCATATTCTTACCATTTTCTAGGCAAACTTCCCAGAGCTGGTCCTGACCGAGGAGCAGAAGCAGCACCTGATGAACGAAGGTTTTTCTTATCTGCCACTGGCCCAAGTGAGTCCTTGCTGTGGTCTGTCTCTCCCGAACATACTTGGACCACTCGAGTGCTTCAGCCAGAGCAGGGGTTTGAAAACGCAGGATGGTGTTTTCGTGAAAGCCCAGGTGCTGTGTTGAGGCAGCGTGGGGTAGGCTTTGGTGTTCTATTCCACCCTTCAAGGCCTTGGGCATGTTCACATGTACAGCAGGCTCAGCTTTGCTAATCAGGTAGATACAAAGAGCAACGAGACCTGGCTGCTTCAGTCTCCCCACTCACAACTGCTTGCAGGAGGCAGTTATACCACAAGTGCCTCCAACCTATTATTTTACCCGCTTGCCTAGTGGCTTGTGAGCTGTATGCTTTTCATCTCCCTTAGGTATGCCTCGCTTTTGCTACTCTGGAGAAGCTGCTGTCCACATCAGCAGCCTGTGCTTTGCTGAGGCGGAGCGGGGGGGGCAGACAGAAGGCAAAAACATGAGGGCTGAGCTTTGAGGTGTATGCAGGGTTTATGATGGCTGTATTGACAACGGTTGCTCCTAAGGAGAAATCACCCTTGCAGGCTAAAGACCAGCTTCTGACGAAGGTACGTCGGAAGGTCCGGAACAGGCAGTCAACCCAGAATATTTATCGCAGGAAGAAGAGCAACATGGATCGCCTGGAAAACAAGTAGGGGCACACAGCAGTGTCACCCAACACTGGGGGGACAGACAGGTTCTTTTACGGGTACTTGGCAGAGTGATGACGGCGCTAAACTGTAGTTTCATAGAATCCTGTGTTTGTGTTGTAAGAGACCTTAAAGCTCATCCATTTCCAACTCCCTACTATGGGCACAGACGCCTTCCACTAGACCAGGTTGCTCCAAGCCCCTGTGTCCAACCTGGCCTTGAACACTGCCAGGGATGGAGCAGCCACAGCTTCTCTGGGCACCCTGTATCAGTGTCTCAACACCCTCACAGTGAAGAATTTCCTCTTTATATCTGTTCTAAATCTCCCATTTTACAGTTCAAAGCCATCCTCCCTTTCCTATCCCTACCTGTCCTTGTAAAACTTCCCTCTCCATCTTTCCTGTAGACTTAGTTTTTAAGTACTGCAAGCTGCTTTAAGGTCTCCCCAGAGCTTTTTCTTCTTCAGGCTTAAATAAAATTTCAATTAAAACTTTGTTTTCTTAACGTATTATGATTAGTATAGCACAGAATTTATTACTAGAGTGGCATGGGACTTCTGCAAGCAGAATGAATGTAGTACAACCTATAACCAGTGTAATACAGAATTTATAATACAGCTTATAATTTCTAGTCACCTAGATCTTAATACGACTTGACTTAGGATTTTTCATCACATGGACCCACTACAGATGGGGTCAGATCTTAACACTCAGTTTGCTATATCAGTATAGCAATCACAATCTAGACTCAAAACTTACATAAAGGAATATGAGTCTCTCCCTCAATCATGAGGGGAGGCATATGGTGATGGAGGTATTCCTGACCAAAGGTGTCCTCGGTCTTAGTGCTCAGCACCAGCTTCAGGTTCCCTCTTAAGATCTATAAGTGCTTCATATTAAGGACAGTACTTTCTGTGCTGTTACGCTTCCCTGCTCTGTGACAGGGTCATCAACACACTGGGGATGGCAAGGTGCCAGGGACCATCAAGGCCGGCAAGAAAGGGGAATAAGCGGCCTTTCACCCAGAATGCTTGTGGTGGGGAGAGAAGGGAATGAGAAATCGGGGGGTTTTGTCTAGTTGGTGCACGGGACCTTTGGGGCCTGATAATGAGGGGAAGGGAAGGAATACACAACCCACTGGGTCACAGGGAATGGCTGCTCCCCCACTAGTACAGAACAGTATTAGTTGTGCTGACTACATGGCTGGGGATTGGGAGCAGGGGAACAGGGCACAAGCAGCCATGTTGTGCTGCTGCTGGGGTCTTGCCACCCTACACACAAAGAGAGGCAGACCCTCTGGGTGCTCAGAAGCTCAGGGCATCCCTGCTTTCTTCCCCTTGGAGATGGCACAGACCTTGCTCTGTTCAAGCCTGGTGCTGGCCTGTCATCGTGGATGTGCAGGGCTGGTGTGCCACTAGGACCGAGCATCCTTAGGGATTCATGTGGTGCTTCTCAGCAGGACTGGGCAGGGCTTACCCCTCCCCAAAGCTGAGTGAAGTGTCTTTAACTAACAAAGCCTCTCTGTTTTCCCTCTGTGCTGTTCATCCCTCCTGCAAAGGGTGGCAGCCTGCATGGCTCAGAACCAGAGGCTGGAGAAGAAGGTGCGGGTGCTGCAGAAGCAGAACAGGTAAGTACTTCCTGTTGGACCTGGCAGATGTGATGGGAAGGGCTGTTCCTCTTCTTCGGGACCGTGGCCTGCAAAGTGGGAGGAGTAGGGGAGCGTGCAGCCCTTGGTTTAGCTGCTGTGTTAACCTGTGTTGCCTGCTGTCGTGCAGGTCACTGTTCAAGCAGTTTCGGAAGCTGCAGACCTTTGTGAACCAGTCCTCTGCCAGGACTGCCATGGTACAAACCTACATGACGGTGAGTGGCTTCAGCCCCCATGTCTATGAAGGGGTCTCTGCTTTCCTTACAAGCGTGGGAGAGACGTGTTTGTTGCAGGCAGTGACACCTATCCGTGCCCTTTACTGAGGTCTGTGCTCATCTGTTTCCAGGTGATTCTGTCCTTCAGTGTCTTTTTCTCGCCCAACGCCTGCTTGGTTGAATTCATCAAGTCGGAGCTGGATCTTGAAGGTGAGTGCCTGGGGGCTGAAACACGGCTCCAGGCAAAGTGCTGCTCTCCTTTCCCATAGACAGCCTCAACCCTGGGGCACCTCCAGCCCAGCACCATCTTGCTGGGGTGACCACTAGGTTTGCCTCAGCTCTGGACTCTTCCTTAGCCCTGTTGCAGAGGCCTGCCTTGGGATACGAGAGGAGGTACAAGAACTAGAGGGATCCAGTCCCTCTTGTAGCACAAGCCGTGCTTCAAGCACAGCATCTTCTTCCCTGCTTCCCCTGGGAGGAGGCAGCCCTAGTTCCCCTCTTGTGGGCTCTACGGTGGCCCATGCTCAAGGCAGGATGGTGGGAGGCTGGGGATGACAGGCCCAGAGCCTGAGGACCCCTCACTTGGGTTTGATAGCCTCAGTCAATGATGGGAAGAGGGCTATGGTATACACAACCCCAATCCCAAATCTTCTTTCAACAGCAATTCATCATCTGATGCTTCGGCAGCAGCTGGCTTCGAGCTGGTTGCCTTTGAACCTCAGGAACAGCACTCCCAGGGCAGCCCTTTGCAGGCAGGGGTCCTTGTGTTGTGGAAGGGCAAGAGGCAGGAGCGGACCGATCATGCTGCCCCAGAGTGGTCATCCAGCAGCACCATGCAGATGTGACTTCTGCCGCTACCTCCTGCGTCTTGGGGTGACCCTGGGCATCCTGCCCGGAAGGGGTGAGCAGAGCTGCCTTAGTTCCATCGAAGCCTTAGGAGATAATCCATCAAAGTAGATTCGTCTGAATACTCCCCCAATAGCTGGCAGCTCAGGGGGTTTACTGGGGAGGTATTCCTCCTCTGACGCTTTGCTCTGTGTTTCTATAGCAGAACTCCACCTGAGATAGAATAGAAAACTTTGCCAATTTTGCTATAGCTGCTGACATGGCTTGCAGCTCAGAATGCATCCTTGTGGCTCGCAGAGATGGGCTGTGGCATGAAGGGTGAGGGTGGTCAGGCCTGAGGTTGGTGTTAGTCTGCACTAGGTGGATGGAGTCTATTGTCCTGCTGCTTCTTTGCCCAGGTGGAGGTGAACAAGTTAGGTCCTGCATTTCTTACTGTGTCTGGTGGCCACAAACATCTGTCCCTTGTTCCTTTCCCTTAATCCTGCAGTGTTGACTGATTTCTAGGTGTGAGATAGGGAGCTGCCCTTCAGTGCTCCCACAATGAATGATCCTGCCATTGCGACAGGCCCTGCTTGTCGCCTGTTCCTGCTACCTTTTGAGCCATGGGTACAGCTCCTGGCTTGGCTAGAGAAGGTAATGTGAAGTCCTTCCCAAGCCACGCATGCTGTTGCCTTCTGTAGGGGCTGAGCCTTTCCATCTGCCACAGCCCACTGTTTACTCTGGACCTCAGGGAAAGGCACATCTCGAACCTTCATGCAGATAGGGATGAAGCACTGCGCAGCAGAGCTGCTTGCTCCTCTGGAGGCTTTCATGGCCACATGATGTTCTCAAAGCTGTGTCCTTGTGTGCCCAAGCTTTGCTGCACTGGCTGAGGATGTAGTCATCTGTTTCTGGTTGCTCCACAGGGCTAAGCAGAAACACTTCTGACATGGCAAGCAGTGTCTTTCTTGAAGTGCAGCTTAGTAGTGAACAGTAAAAAACCCAGGTGTTTGTTATAAATGACTTACTACTGCTGAAACAGCTCTACTGGGCACTTTCTGCATACTTTAAAACTATCATTTAACAGTTAATCATCTCTCCTTTCCTACTGTAGGACATTTCATAGAAGCATATAGAATAGTCTACATTTAAGGCACCTTTAAAAATCATTTAGTCCAATTCCCCTGCCATAAGCTGGGACACCTTCCACCAGGTCTCCATAGTAGATAATACTTTCCTTATTAATAGCAAGTAAATAAATAGTAATGAAGCATGACCATGTCTCCTGTGGTGGTTTTCGTGCGGGGTACCCAGCACAGCACCCACATGCGAGCTGTGCCGGTGCCGCGGAAGCGAACAGCTTCCCTGGTCGGAAGCATGAGGAACTGGTGTCTGCCCCACTGCTGCTGTCGTAACAGAGCTGCACAATGGGAGGAAGTAGAGCAGAGCCAGCGTGGTGCAACAGTCCCATCCCTTTGGCTGGGGGGCTGTGGAGAGGGCCCTGCTGTGGTGTGGATCATAAATCAGGGCTGGGCACTCAGGTTGGTTGGGATAAATGGGTCCCTGGGAGGCAGGAGTGGACCATGAGCTCAGGCTGTGGAGCCCAGTGAGGGGCTGGGGTGATAGGTGCAGGCAACACCGTGCTTGCAGCCAACCCCAGAAGCAAAGGGTGAGTGTGGATGAATGAGATCTAAAATTGAAAGTGTGGTCTCTGTCTGTGGAGGAGAGATAGACAAGGGGTGTCTGTCCCCAGAAGGACAGGTAGCAGCACACTTGTATCAGGACCAGGTCTCATCTCTGCCCTGGCTGGGGCAGGCAGACTGTGAGCATCCTCAGGGAACTACTGGACCTCTTTTCCCAGGTGCCATGCATGGTGGCAGGAAGGTGCTGTTCCTCACTTTCACTTTGCAGTTCAAGGCCAGGGTGTGCGATGCCACTGATGTTGCTTGGAGTCCTCGACCCGGCACTAATCGATATTACTCATCCAAAGTAAAACACAGTGGTGCTGCCAGCAAAGCAGGGATTGGCACTGCAGCCTGTGGTTGGCCAGGGCGATGGGTCAGCACTGTGCTCTGCAGCGATCTGGCTTGCTTGGCCAGGTACCAGGATGTGAGAGGGCACTGGGAGAGCAGGCAAGGAGCCAGGCAAGCACAGAGGGCTCCCCATAAAACACAGCTCAGCACATGCTCCTGCCGCCAGGCACTGCCTGCACCAGCCCTTCCACATCACAGAGCCCAGTGCTGCACTGGGGAGTCTGCAATGAGAGTTTTGGGGATGGTTGCTCCATCCATGCTATTTTACACTGCTGTCTGTGTTCTCATGCTGGTCCCTCAATAAGCAGCTCTGAGCCAGTGAGAGGAAGGAAGCTGAGCCCAGGCCTCGCGCCTTGGGTTAAAGGGCAGCGATGACAAAAATGCCCGGAATGAGTTCTTCGGCCGAGGAGGCTCGCACCTTGTTTCCATCAAGCAGAGGAGCAGGAGGCTCCGTGTGTTTCTGCCACCCTCCTCCTCGCTGCACATCCTCCATGACAGCTTTTTCCCTTGTGTGCTGCAGGGGTCAGAGCACATCCTGTGTGCACACTGGTGCTGCTTGCACACACACACGCAGCCCGGTGTTGCCCTGGTGTTATGGTCCCTGCTTGCTCTCCCTGTCATGTTTCCCCTTCTATTCCCAACGCCGACCTGTATCCCATGCACATCCCAGAAGGTGCCTGCATCAGCACTGAGGGAGCACACTGACAGACCAGAAACATGAGGAAAATACTCTGCTCAGCTCCTGGCAAGTCCCCATGGATGCTGGTGAATGGAAACACTCTCTTTTATACTTGCTGACCCCCTGAGCATCAGTAGTGCTTGAAAGCATGAAAGCATTACATTAGCTTTGCCTCCTGTTGCTGAGGAGGCTTTGGGCTGTGTGGCTGATGCAAAACACCTCCTGATTGCAGCTTTAAAGGAATCAGATTTTCCTCCTGGTTTTTTTTTTTTTTTTTTTTTTTTAAAGAATCAGGGTTTCTCAGGTAGAGAGAGAGGTAGAAATTTCAGCCAGTAGAAAACATACTCTCCTTTTGAAGGGAAACCTTAAACCCAGCATCCACCCCGTTTCTAACCTCCAGCACCAACCGCTGGATATCAGTGGAAACAAAAACTAGCAGAAAACTGATAGCCCGATTAAAAGAGCAGCTGGAAATAGAGCGACGGAGCTGCTGCGTGCGTTGCTCAGGGACACGGCCTCGCTCTGAGGTCTCCCTGGGGGCTGGCTGCTTGGATGTCTCCCCATCTGCCGGCGCTGGGAACAGAAGCCTGCCGGCCCTGCAAAAGCCATTTGCAGCCTCCCCGTGCATTCAGGCACCCGAGGAACTTCCTCTGCTCTGCCTGGACCCTGCCCTGCAGCATCCCACTGCGTTTACCCTGATCCCGCTGCCTGCTCACAGCCCAGCTTGTCCTGCACCCCCGGGGGCATTTGGGAGAGACCCCGAGGGACAAGTTATCCACAGCACAGCACCACTTTTGCGGGCACAGCAAGACCACACAAGTGCCAGGGAGGGGACACGGGATAGCCCTTATCCCCAGGAGCACGGCTGCATGCAGCTGCCACTTCACATTGGTGACAGAGTAAGACAAACCCTGTAGGTTAAAGAACAGGCAGAAATCAAAGCCAAGCCCTGTTGTCCCCACAGAAACCCTTTATTGTGTGTACCTGCTGCCCAGCCTCCACGCTGGGCTGAACTTGCCTGGGAAAGCAGGAACATGTGGGCTGAGAGCTGCTGAAATACAGCAGCACAGCGCAAGCAGAGCCTGGCTGGGGGAAGAGCCGTGTCCCTGGAGTTCGGGGCCTCCTGTGCTTGCTTGCTGTTGCTTCTCTGCTTGCTGTTACTTTATTCGGGTGAAAACGCTGGTGCCAATCCTGCAGGAACCCCAAATCACTGTGGTTGACCCAAATGGGGTTACCTATGCTGTGGCAGAGAGTACAGAGGGGGAAACAAAAGGGGGGGTACTGTGTTCCCTGCTGGGTGCTGAGTGAGATGCCCTGGGCTCCAACACCCTTTAGCAGAGGCTGCTGTGGGTGCTGGCATTTTGCCCTGCTCTCTCCCTGCTGGGCAGAGTGGTAGGAGAAGCTTGGGAGGGTCTGGCTGAGGCCAGAATCCATCCTGCAGTCTCCCACCCTGGGCCACACTGGGATGCAGGGGCTGGCCAGGTTACAGTGATGATCCCTCATCCCTGGTGACAAATCCATTTCGCCCTCCTGGCCCTGCCATGCTTATCCCATGGGATTTTTCCCTTCTCCAGCCCAGGGTGCAGGAAAGCATGTCACAGTGGTGTCCATGGGACCCTGTGCTCACCGTGTGGCTTTCCAGTCCTCTGTGGGGCTGTCGGATGCCTCTCGCAGGAGCCATAGGGCATGCAAGGTCTCCTCCCCGTTGGTGCCCACATAGCACTGGCCCAGGAAGACACTCATCTGGGTTGTGTCCGAGTCTGGAAGGGTCCAAGGAGGTGTGATTTGGGGTGGTGAGGCATGAAGCCACCTCCAAATGTGCCACTGCTGCAGGGTGAATGGCCCTCTCCTGCCCTACCTCGATGCTGCCAGTGCACGGTGAAGGAGAAGATGGGCTGCAGGACCAGCCCCACGTCCTGTTGGGACCCCTTCAGAGGCGAGGAGAGGATTTGGGAGTTGTCAACAGCAGCCCCCGGCAGGTAGGAACCAGAGAAGCTTCCATCCTTGCCAACAGTGAACACGACCATCCTGCAGCCCGTGTCACTGCGCCACGATCCGGAGAGGAGGCACTGCAAGGCCAGCCAGGGAGGATGGGGCAGCCTGCTGCTGCCTCACCATCCTGATTCTGCCTGGGGATGCTCCATGGACCCTCTGTGGAGCTGGTGGCACTGGCATTGCCACCTCGGCTCGAGCATTCCACCTGTGGCACTGATTGCCTCCAGTACAACTGTCAACCTGGGCCCTTTGCTGCTGCTACCCAAGGGTGAGCAGGTCCTCCCCATGCTAAAGCAGAGGGTTTGCTGCTTTCCCAGTGTATTTGGTGGGTAAAGAGGGTTTCTCTGGGATATGTTCCTGTTTGCCTGTCTCTGGATGGATTCCCACAGCAAAGAGCATCCTTGCAGGAGCAGTCCCTCCCTCCCAGCCTTTCCACAGCTTCCCTCAGTGCCCCACAGCACTGCTCCCACCAGCTTGGGCAGCCCTGCCACTGCTCCCTGCTGAGCACCGCAGCCCCAGCAGCAGACTTTGGGGTCTAACAGTGTCACATCCCCATCACCACCCATCCCCATACCTTCCTCTCCGCAGGGGTGACAAACATCACCAGGCCCAGGGTGAGGACCAGGGTAAAGGCACCGCTCCCCATGGCTGCAGGGCTGGGAAGCGCAGCTCCCTCCCGGCCCTTTATAGGGCTGTAACCAGAGCCCGTGAGCTGGCGGTGGCAGAATGCCGGAGGCAGGCTAGATGAGGTGAGGAGGTCTCTGTGACCTGGGCAATGCTGGAGGAACACGGGGCTGCGCACAGCTGTGCGGGAAGCGGGGGAATAGGCTTTTTTTTTAAAGGCACTTACAGCAGCCTGAAAAACATCAATCACCAATTCCCAGTGTATGCACACTGGAATGATTGCCTATTTAAACATTTAACTGTTGCCTGCTCTGCTGGTACCGCTGCCTGACTGTGGTATCACCCACCCTGGTGCCAGGCATCCCTGGCAGAGGCAAGCTGCACAGGAGGGAAGGCTTACCCTGCCTTTGTAACATTCAGCAGTCATAACATTTCCCCAGCATCTTCTGAGCATCAGATGTTAATTTAACTGGCTTGGCTTTTACAAGTGTTAGAGGAAGGAGTAACCACAAAGGCACACTGGGGTCCAAGTGAGTGTGTTTGCTAAACACACCCAGCATGCAAAACAGCACCTCTTCCTTATATCTGCTGCTCTTAGGGGCTTTGCATGTACAAAACACAGCATGCGCTGACCCTGCGTTCATGAGCTGCTTCTCTGCTTGCTGCAGTGCTTGGAGCAGGCATGGTGCTGCGGGCAACTGAAAATTAATGTGGGTTTCAGCTGCATAAACACATGTTCCTTCCTGGACAGGTGTGTCTGGGGCACTGGACAGCAGCAGGGCTGTGGTGTGTGGACTGGGGATGGGGAAGTTCTACTCTGGGGCATGAGCCCAAACACAACCCTAGACCGTGCTGCTGCTGCTCAGTGCCTCTCCCTCTGGTCCAGATGGTCCCAGAGGCTGGGATGAGGAGAAACCACCCCTCTCCTAACACATCCCTTCTCCCTGTCACCTTTTACAGACCCACACTCACAGCTTATCACAGGGGCTCGAGAAATCCTCCCTGCCCTGGGGGGACCTGTTGCTCTTGGCCTGGATGCCATGCTCCATCCTTTCAGCCTGACACCAGCCCCTGCCTTTCCAGGCTCTTTGGCAGGGGCAAGCCGCCCTGTTTGAGGTGCCAGAGAGGGTGACAGCCACCACTCCATGTCACAACAGCGTGCTGGGGCTGGGCCAGGCTCAGTGGGCTGTGCAGCGAGTGTGCTGGCATCACTGGGGCTGGGCTATATTTGTAACACTTCTGTAGGAGGCTTCATCTTCACCCATGGACCTGCCAAAAAACACTGGATGGAAAGAGCTGACTAAGCTTGGCAGCTGTCCACAGGGGCAGATAGAGTGGCACTGCCAAAGTACAGCAGCAGAGAAAGGTAAAATCTTTGGTTATAGCCCAGGGGAATGGGATGGAATGAGATATGTGGGATACGATGGGATGCAATACAATGGGATGGGATGGGATGGATGCGATGCGATGCGATGCAGTGGGATGGGGTGGGATGCGATGCAATGCAACGCAACGCAATGGGATGGGATGCGATGCAATGCAATGGAATATGATGGGATGATGGGATGGGGGCTTTAACTGTGCACATTTTATTTCAGGTGCTGTGCAGCATGAAGGAAACACTTTACTGACATCTCATATCTACTGATACCATGACCTCCACCACCTAACCCTACAGTGTTGGCACTGGAAAGGTGTCTGGTGGGGATGGATATGAAGGCACTTCAAGGAAGCTGTCTGGACTCAGGATGATGATGCCACCTCTGCCATCAGCAGGCAGGCAGGGAGGCATGGTGCAGGGTGGAAGTCTGGGTTAGGATAAAGTGGGAAATGAGCCCAGGGAGCTGGATGGGGGGATCAGGGAGGGATCCAGATATTGTTGAGGTAGGGCCGTGGTGCCATGGGGGCAGAAGCTGCCTCAGAGGGGGAGTGAGGGCAGTCTTTAGAAACAGACAACCACAACTGACATGATTTTAGAGTTTATTTAGATGTGAGAGGCTGGTTTTGCTTGCCCTAGGGGGGCTGCAGCCAGAGCATTGTCAAGGGATGGTCGAAGACTTGTCCTCACAGGATGGGAACAAGCTTGGCAGATTCTTTCCTTTCGGGGTGTGTTTGCGTGTGAAGACATTTCTGCCCACCCTGTGGGAAGTAGAGACCACTGATAACCCCTTCAGAGCTGCCAGTGCCAGTGGGTGACAGAGGTGTCCCTGTAGGGGTGCTCCTGGCCTGGGCAAGCTCCTTGCCAGGAGGTATTGACATCCGCACTGCAAACCTACACTGGGGCATGCCCAGGGGTGATGCTCCCCTTACCCAGGTGATGCTTCTCATCAGGAGTACTGGGAGGGCCCCTCTGTCCCCAACATCCCCCCATTACCTGGTGGCTTTCCAGTCCTCCTTGAGGGACTCGACGGCTTCACGCAGCAGCCACATGGTGGTCAGTGCCTCCTTTCCACCCGAGTCCACAAAGCACTGTCCCACAAAGGCAGTGCTGGCATCTGGGGGAAGCTTGGTGTGGTCAGTGGGGATGTCACCCATGCCTGCTGGCTGCATCCCCCTTCTTGTCTTCTGATGGTCATGCACCCAACCACACTGAGAGGACCTGCCCTTCCCCAGCAGCTCCCTTGGATAAGGCAGGCTCTGCAGCACTGCATCCCCTGTGCCCTAATGGGGTTTGGGATGCAGTGTGAGGGGGGGCTGCTGCTGCCTCCCTCTGCTTATCTGCACCGAAGCATCACCCAGCAGAGGCAAAACCCTGCTGGCTGCCTGCATGGCTCCTGATACCCCCATAGTGCCATCCCCAGGTACCCCAGCACTTACTGGAGAACTTGTCCCAGCGCACGGTGAAGGCAAAGGTGGGCCATCCCCCTTCGCCAGGCTGCTGCTGGGCACCCTTCAACGGGGAGGCGCGGGCGCAGCCACCAGTGAGTGTGACCCGTGTGAGGTATTTCCCCTGGAAGTCCCCGTTGTCCATCAACGCTGAAATCTCCATCAGCGAGTCCTGCTCGTTCCTCCACAGCCCGCTGAGCTGGCACTGAAGGGACACAGCCATAGGCCCTCTGCGTACGGTGCAGAGGGGTTCCCATCCCTCCCACCGCCACATGGATGGAGCTGCAAGCCCTGCTGCAAGTGGGGCACGGCTCTACCTGTCCCCGGTTTGGGGATATGCTTCCTTAGCTGGCTGCTAAGTAGATGGTGCAGTAAGGCCAGCATGTCTTAGTCCATTACCATGCACGGTATGCCCACATATGGACTCTATAGGAGAGGATGGTCTGTGCATTGCACCCCTGGGTACAGACCATGTAGGAAGTAATGCCCCATGCATGGTGCCCTGGACACAATTCCCACAGCAGGAGATGCCCCATGCATGGAGCTTCTGAGCATAGACCCCATGGGAGGGAATGCCCTGTGCAAGATGCCCTCGTGGGACCAAAGCTTAGTGGAGGTGGTATCAAGTTTCTGGGGGTAACCCAGAGATATCCTGCCCATTGCCGGGACTGGGTGCTTGAAAAGCTCTTTTGCTTGTCCCAGCCTAAAATGGCATTTAAGAGAGTACCCCTGGCTGCCCACGATGCATCCCAGTGCCACATCCCCATCATCACCCATCCCCATACCTTTCTCTCCGCATGGGTGATGCATGGCACCAGGGCCAGGGCGAGGACCAGGGTGAAAGCGCTGCTCCCCATGGATGCAGGGCTGCGAAGTGCCCAACACGGCTCAGTCCCAGCCCTGTGCCCTGGTCCCTTTATAGGGCTGTAACCAGAGCCCCCGGGCACCGGCCCAGCAGCCATGGACAGTAGCCTGGTGTCAGGGTGCCCAGGACAGGCGAGATGAGGAGGTCTGTGTGACCTAGGCAGTGCTGGAGGAACACAGGGATGAGATGGGTTTGCAGAGAGGTGGGGGCACAGGAATAGTTTGCACATCCACTGTCCAAGAGGCTTTGCCAGCCCGTTCCTTGCTCTGTGATGGAGTCCTCAGGGTGGGCGCAGCCTGGCACTCTCCCACTGCCACCATCCTGGTCATGCTGCCATTCAAACACAGCAAAGCAGCAAGCACAGCCTGACCAGCTTTTCTGTGCTGCTCTGAAGGGTGGTGTGTGTGCCTGCAGAGTTCGTCCTCATGCCGTCCCCTCCTGCTCTGCAAGTTTATGTTGCTGTTCCTAAGCTGTTTTTCTGCTGCTGTTTCTAAGCTCCAGCAGAGCTGGGGTGCAGGCAGGGCACAAGGAGAGGGCTCCCTGGGAGCTGTGGAGGGAAAGCTGGGACCTGTCCGAGGAGCTGCTCCATCCTCCCAGGATGATGGTCTGTGCTAGGCAAGGAGAGAGAGAGGAGCAAAGCAGGGTGTGTGTCCTGACCAGGGGGCTGGCAGGAGTGATGACCATGCAGAGGGGGCAGGAACTATAGGACCGCAAGCTTGCTACCCTGGAATTCAGGAGAGGAGACTTTGGCCTCTTCAGTGACCAGCTTGGTAGAGTACCAGGGGGTAGAGCCCTGCAGGGAAGAGGGGCCCAGGAAACCTGGTTAGTATTCAGGGATTACTACTCCGAGCTCAGGAGCGATTGTCCCAACGAAAGGGAAGTCAGGCAAGAACACCAGGAGGCCTGTGTGGGTGAACAAGGAGCTCCTGGGCAAACTCCAACACCAAAAGGAAGCCTGCAGGAGCTGGTGGGTGAAGTGGCCAAGCTGCTCTCCATCATATCTGAGAAGTTATGGCAGCCCAGTGAGGTTTCACTGACTGGAAAAACCCCATTTGTAAAAAGGGACACAAGGAAGACCTGGGGAACTACAGGTCAGTCCATCTCCTCAGAGCCCAGTGATGGCATGGAGCAGATCCTCCTGGAATGTGTGCAAAGGCACACGGAAAAGGAGGAAGTGGTTGGTGACAGCCAACATGGCTTCACAAAGGGCAAATCATGCCTGACAAGTTTGGTGGTCTCTACATCGGGGTTACAGCATTTATGGGTAAGGGAAGAGCAGTTGACATCATCTACCTGGACTTGTGCAAGGCATTTGATAATGTCCCACACAACATCCTTGTCTCTAAACTGGAGAGGCATGGGTTTGATGAATGGGACACTTGGACAAGGAATTATTTGATGATCGCACTCAAAGTGTTAATGTCAATGTCTTGATGTCCAAGTGGAAACCAGTGATGAGTGGCTTTCCTCAGGGGTCAGTGCTGGGACCAGAGCTGTTTAACATCTTTGGCAGTGACATGGACAAAACACAGTGTGTGTTTGCAGCAAAACTTTATTGTGAGATGCAGATGGGGGACCGGGGAGGGGGACACATGTTGCTGGCAGCTCAGGATACCTCATGCTGCCTCCCTCACTCTTCCTTTGAGAGCAGACGGGTGAAGTTGTTAAAGCCAACCCTGTGGTACACAGAGGGAGAAGACGTAAGAGTGAGAACTGCAGCTTTGCACAGGACAAGTTGACCCATCCCCATCTCCCCCAGCAGCAGTTGCACCATGCGGGGATCCCCGGGCAGGCCACGGCCAAGCACCATCCTGGGTCACCACCAGCAGCTCTGGGGGCACTGAGCACCAGAGGGTGGCAGAGCCCTGGCCCCACTGGGGACGCACAGGGGACCTGTGCAGGGCATGGGCTCACCTGGTGGCTTTCCAGTCATCCTTGATGCTGTCCACATGCAACCGCTGGAGCCATGTGGTCTTCAAGATCTCCTTTCCTTCCTCATCCACAAAGCACTGGCCCGTGAACACACTGACAGAGTCTGCAGGGATGGGGCAGGACGTGAAGGGGAGCATGGACAGGGTGGCAGGTCAGTGCCCTGCACCCTGTCCCAGCACAGGGGACAGTAGACACTGCCCTCTTTGGACAGTGGTAATGGGGAAAGCAGGGAGGAGGGGTCTCGGGTAGAGATGGGCACACAGCAGCAGGCCTCAGCCCCACAGAGCATCCTCTGCACCCTGGGACTGGGAGGTGACACCAGCCAAAGAGGTCCAGAGTCAAGGATGGGGGAGCATCAGGGGCAGCGCAGGGGATGTGAGAGCAGTGGGGACACAGCAGGGGAAGGCAGGGGATTGTTAGGGACACTGCTGTGAGGGCAGAAGAGCATCAAGGACATCACGGGGAGGGCAGGAGATCTTTGGGGGTATCACAAGAAGGGCAGCAGGATGTGGAGACATCACAGTGGAAGGTTGGTGAGCTCTGGCAACACAACAGGGAAGATGGGAAGGAGAAGTACCTGCAAAGTCCCAGTTGACGGTGAAGCCAAATACAGGCCAGGGCTGGTTTGTGCAGTTCTGGGACCCCACCAGCGGTGACTCTGTGATCTTGTTGCTGGTGTCTGACACAGACGTGTTGTAGGAGCCATCGAAGTTACATTTGCTGCTCATGGGGTTGATGGTCATGTTGGAACCCAGGTCATTGGTCCACTTCCCAGCCAGCACACACTGGGTTGGAGAGGCAGACAGATGAGTGGACATTCGCCTTAAACATTTCTTGGTGCATAAGATGCGAGCTTCACTGCACATGTTGCAGGCTTTGAAAGGGACTCGAGCACGGTAGGTGTTATAACCACAAGCAAGAGCACACCACCAGTTCCAAGAGTTAAATGCGCATGTGTAGGGTGCTAGATCATCGACCCTGGGGGTTCTCATCAGATGCAATGCCTGAGATAGTCCCCCTGCAACCACCGCTCACACTAGAGCTTGCACAGAGACCACTGCCACCACTGCATCATACAGAAATGAAGAGGCATCCTCTCAAGAGCATAAAACCCTTAATCAATGAAGGCTTAGGTGGGCCCCACTTCACCAAGACACCCACAGTGAAGAGGTCCAACGGAATGCCACTGGATCCATGGTGGTGATATCTCTTCTCTTTTATGTCCTTCTCTCTCTCTTCCTCTCCTTCTTTTTATTGAACAGTGTCCAGATCTAAGCAAAAGCTCGTGGCATGGGACTTTCCTATCCAGTTAATCATGACTGAGTTGTCGTATCTAACCACGTGCCTTGTACTTTGCATTAATAAATCATAAAATGGTTGGTGTCGTTTCACCTTAATTCAGTCCAAGGGTATGATGAACGTGGTCGTTGGTCCCAAGGGGAAGGAGGTCATCCTAAATGACTCTTTTTGGGTTGCAACAGGAACTCATCACCGGTGCTGCAGCGCAGCCCCTGCCCCCCCTGCCCCGCCCATCCCCGCT